TGAGGAGTTTCTTATGATCGTTCAACCAAGAAATTGCAAACTTCACAACAAATCAATCAGGCATTAGCGGAATCTTTGGTCTTCTTGAGCCGACTCATGCCCACATGTCCAAATCACTCTTGGAATGGAACTTTCCAGGCAACCACCTCTCCCATGTCCGCCCTGTTGACATATTCTTGGCCACAGACTGACATGACTTGGGCTCGGTTCCGTTCCTGCGTGACACAAAAGCATGATGGCCATAGAGACTCACAACTCTTCATCAGCCTGGGAACTGACAGCTCTCAAGCAGAATATATTACATTATCATTTAATCATCATATGATACTGGTATATATATACAGATATATACAGCATATCTATCATTATCAGTAGTAGTAGTAGTAGTAGTCGTAGTAGTAGTAGTAGTGGTGGTAGTGGTAGTAGTAGTAGTAGTAGTTATTGTCATTATTATTCATGTTGTTATTTTGGAAATTTCGATGCTCCCGTCTGCCATTTAGGTGCACTTGGTGCGGCCACGAGGCCGCCAACCAGGGAGCGATGGAGATGGCCTAGCAGGGATAAACGAACGTATGGCCGCAAGCGAGGAATCCCTGAAAGGATCCATGGAATTTAAAGAGAAAGAGTGGCTGAGTTGCTATTATCCAACTATTATCCCATAACTATTATCCCAAACTACTATAATAGTGGTTGAATAGTTTCAGATAGTAGTTTGGGATAATAGTTTTGGGATAATAGTTGGATAATGGCAATAGCCACTGCAAATCACTTTGCTTTAATCAGGTATAAAAATCAAATGGACCACTTTCCATTGCTATGTTCAACGACCAAAGGGTATGAACATAGTGGAAATAATGTGGAAATAGCTTGGGATAATAGTTGGGACAAATGACCATGTATTCTCCAAAACTATACTTGTCGATATAATGGTATGGGGACCCCCTGGCAGATGGGACCTCTATTCCCACTCTACTCCCATACTACTATATACTACTCCCATACTACTCCCATGAGAAATCCCTATTCCATATGGGAAGATGAATGAAAGTCCTGTCAGCCAGGGGGGCCCTATTAGTTCCATGGACATAGGATGAGAATCATGACCCATCAATTCTATTGAATTCTCCTTGAATCTACTTACTTGAAGACTCCTCGGAGTTGGGGAGCAATTGTCGGGTCCGTATCAAACACCAACCAACTGATTGCCGAAGCATCATAAAGCACTTGTTACTGTGCATGTGCTGGTGTATGCACACAATATCATGGGCGATTTAGAACGGAATATGTTTCATGCATATGTACGTATATATATATATATGTATATGCATACATACACACACACATATATATATATGTATTATTGTTAATAATAATAAAAATAATAATCCGCCGACCCCTGCCGTCAGCAGGGGAGCGCGTCAGAGGAGGCCTTACTAGCAACAAGATGCCAGAAGGGGCGAAGAGTTTGTGCAGAACGAAAGCCGGCTCCAGGAGGACACGAGCAGGGTGGCAGTTGGCAGTGTAGAAACGCAGGAAAAGTCAAGGTTTGGAGCTAGTTTCTAGTCGGTTCAGAAAGTGACGTTTGGCAGTCGGGATACGGGCCGCGGGCCCAATCCGTCCTTCACTGCCATGGTGTTTTAGCCCTGCGACACGGTCCTTGGACTCCAGCTTGGACCGAAGCGGTGCAGAACGAAGGCCGGCTCCAGGAGGACACGAGCAGGGTGGCAGTTGGCAGTGCAGAAACGCAGGAAAAGTCAAGGTTTGGAGCTAGTTTCTAGTCGGTCCAGAAAGTGACGTTTGGCAGTCTGGGATACGGGCCGCGGGCCCAATCCGTCCTTCACTGCCATGGTGTTTTAGCCCTGCGACACGGTCCTTGGACTCCAGCTTGGAACGAAGCGGTGCAGAACGAAAGCCGGCTCCAGGAGGACACGAGCAGGGTGGCAGTTGGCAGTGCAGAAACGCAGGAAAAGTCAAGGTTTGGAGCTAGTTTCTAGTCGGTTCAGAAAGTGACGTTTGGCAGTCTGGGATACGGGCCGCGGGCCTAATCCGTCCTTCACTATACCATGGTGTTTTAGCCCTGCGACACGGTCCTTGGACTCCAGCTTAGACCGAAGCGGTGCAGAACGAAAGCCGGCGCCAGGAGGACACGAGCAGGGTGGCAGTTGGCAGTGCAGAAACGCAGGTAAAGTCAAGGTTTGGGGCCGCAGAACGAAAGCCGGCTCCAGGAGGACACGAGCAGGGTGGCAGTTGGCAGTGCAGAAACGCAGGAAAAGTCAAGGTTTGGAGCTAGTTTCTAGTCGGTTCAGAAAGTGACGTTTGGCAGTCTGGGATACGGTCCGCGGGCCCAATCCGTCCTTCACTGCCATGGTGTTTTAGCCCTGCGACACGGTCCTTGGACTCCAGCTTGGACCGAAGCGGTGCAGAACGAAAGCCGGCTCCAGGAGGACACGAGCAGGGTGGCAGTTGGCAGTGCAGAAACGCAGGAAAAGTCAAGGTTTGGAGCTAGTTTCTAATCGGTTCAGAAAGTGACGTTTGGCAGTCTGGGATACGAGCCGCAGGCCCAATCCGTCCTTCACTGCCATGGTGTTTTAAGAGAGGAGCCCTGCTACAAAACGGTCCTTGGACTCCAGCTTGGCCGAGCGGTGCAGAACGAAAGCCGGCTCCAGGATGACACGAGCAGGGTGGCAGTTGGCAGTGCAGAAACGCAGGAAAAGTCAAGGTTTGGAGCTAGTTTCTAGTCGGTTCAGAAAGTGACGTTTGGCAGTCTGGGATACGGGCCGCGGGCCCAATCCGTCCTTCACTGCCATGGTGTTTTAGCCCTGCGACACGGTCCTTGGACTCCAGCTTGGGCCGAAGCGGGTTCATCGAACTAAGGCCCGGCTCCAGGAGGACACGAGCAGGGTGGCAGTTGGCAGTGCAGAAACGCAGGAAAAGTCAAGGTTGGGAGCTAGTTTCTAGTCGGTTCAGAAAGTGACGTTTGGCAGTCTGGGATACGGGCCGCGGGCCCAATCCGTCCTTCACTGCCATGGTGTTTTAGCCCTGCGACACGGTCCTTGGACTCCAGCTTGGACCGAAGCGGTGCAGAACGAAGGTCGGCTCCAGGAGGACACGAGCAGGGTGGCAGTTGGCAGTGCAGAAACGCAGGAAAAGTCAAGGTTTGGAGCTAGTTTCTAGTCGGTTCAGAAAGTGACGTTTGGCAGTCTGGGATACGGGCCGTGGGCCCAATCCGTCCTTCACTGCATGGTGTTTTAGCCCTGCGACACGGTCCTTGGACTCCAGCTTGGACCGAAGCGGTGCAGAACGAAAGCCGGCTCCAGGAGGACACGAGCAGGGTGGCAGTTGGCAATGCAGAAACGCAGGAAAAGTCAAGGTTTGGAGCTAGTTTCTAGTCGGTTCAGAAAGTGACGTTTGGCAGTCTGGGATACGGGCCGCGGGCCCAATCCGTCCTTCACTGCCATGGTGTTTTAGCCCTGCGACATGGTCCTTGGACTCCAGCTTGGACCGAAGCGGTGCAGAACGAAGGCCGGCTCCAGGAGGACACGAGCAGGGTGGCAGTTGGCAGTGCAGAAACGCAGGAAAAGTCAAGGTTTGGAGTTAGTTTCTAGTCGGTTCAGAAAGTGACGTTTGGCAGTCTGGGATACGGGCCTTGGCCCAATCCGTCCTTCACTGCCATGGTGTTTTAGCCCTGCGACACGGTCCTTGGACTCCAGCTTGGACCGAAGCGGTGCAGAACGAAAGCCGGCTCCAGGAGGACACGAGCAGGGTGGCAGTTGGCAGTGCAGAAATGCAGGAAAAGTCAAGGTTTGGAGCTAGTTTCTAGTCGGTTCAGAAAGTGACGTTTGGCAGTCTGGGATACGGGCCGCGGGCCCAATCCGTCCTTCACTGCCATGGTGTTTTAGCCCTGCGACACGGTCCTTGGACTCCAGCCTGGACCGAAGCTGTGCAGAACGAAGGCCGGCTCCAGGAGGACACGAGCAGGGTGGCAGTTGGCAGTGCAGAAACGCAAGAAAAGTCAAGGTTTGGAGCTAGTTTCTAGTCGGTTCAGAAAGTGACGTTTGGCAGTCTGGGATACGGGCCGCGGGCCCAATCCGTCCTTCACTGCCATGGTGTTTTAGCCCTGCGACACGGTCCTTGGACTCCAGCTTGACCGAAGCGGTGCAGAACGAAAGCCGGCGCCAGGAGGACACGAGCAGGGTGGCAGTTGGCAGTGCAGAAACGCAGGTAAAGTCAAGGTTTGGAGCCGCAGAACGAAAGCCGGCTCCAGGAGGACACGAGCAGGGTGGCAGTTGGCAATGCAGAAACGCAGGAAAAGTCAAGGTTTGGAGCTAGTTTCTAGTCGGTTCAGAAAGTGACGTTTGGCAGTCTGGGATACGGGCCGCGGGCCCAATCCGTCCTTCACTGCCATGGTGTTTTAGCCCTGCGACACGGTCCTTGGACTCCAGCTTGGACCGAAGCGGTGCAGAACGAAAGCCGGCTCCAGGAGGACACGAGCAGGGTGGCAGTTGGCAGTGCAGAAACGCAGGAAAAGTCAAGGTTTGGAGCTAGTTTCTAGTCGGTTCAGAAAGTGACGTTTGGCAGTCTGGGATACGGGCCGCGGGCCCAATCCGTCCTTCACTGCCATGGTGTTTTAGCCCTGCGACACGGTCCTTGGACTCCAGCTGGACCGAAGCTGTGCAGAACGAAGGCCGGCTCCAGGAGGACACGAGCAGGGTGGCAGTTGGCAGTGCAGAAACGCAGGTATATACAGTCAAGGTTTGGAGCTATAGTTTCTAGCTGGTTCAGAAATTGACGTCTTGGAAGCTGGGCAGAACGATAGCCAGCTCCAGGAAACCATGAGCAAGTTGGCAGTTGGCATGCAGTGCAGAAAGGCAGGTCAAGCTTGCGGGTTCAGACAGTGACGCTTGGCACTGTCTGGACGGCTGGCTGGACAAGACGAAAGCGAGCGGCACAAGGACGCAAGCAAGTTGGAAACTAGCAGTGTTATTAGTCCAGCGTTGCCGTCACGTTCCAGCTTTCCCGGCGGCATGTGCGTCCGGCAGAGTTTCTGTGCCTGGCTTTGATTTGGCCAGCGGCCTTTTCTGAGTAAACGATTGTTGCGCACGTTGGGCATGCGTGTTTGTGAATGCGACCGGTGACAAAGCCGCCAACGACACGGAAAAATTTTCCGCACGCAAACGAGTGATTAATTTGCCCAGTCTCCACAGTGCTTTTCACTTGTTGCTGGCAGAATGGACATTGGTACCGGCGGATCTGTTTGCCGTTCTTTGCTGTCACATCCGTCTCTGGTGGGCGTGGTTCCTCGTGGCTGGCTGCGCTTGCGGTGGCAGCCTCAGGGCGCACGGAACCTGTGGCGCAATCTGGCAATCGGTCTTTGCAGCTTTGCATGTCTTGGGTGAACGCAATCGTGGTTTTCTGCCTGGTCCTTTCCAGAATTTCTTGGCGCACTTCGTCTATGATGGCCTGATGCCGTCGACTTTTCTCGCGCCGCCGCAGCGGTGTCAACCGTTCGTTCGCGCGACGGGCAATTTGACACACCAAGGCTAAACTGATGCACGTGTTGCAACACTGCGTGCCATCTTGACTGTAATCGTGGCTTTCGCGCCAAGCCGTAAACTCTGCGTGTGGTTTTCGCTCTGAACATTCGGCGCAAGACCAATACCCCCGCAGCTTCTGGACGCACTCACGGCAACAGCGTCGGTCAGCATGGCGAGCTTTCCAGGCAGCAGGGCCATAGTCTTTCTCTGCCTTGGGAACCCCGCATTTGAAACATGGCTTCTTGACTTCGCATGTCAAACAAACACGGAAAAAACTACATTGCCGTTGGCGATGCTTTTCTGGGAAATTGGTCTCGACATGCCACAGCTTGCACACGTTGCATTGCCACGGGGTTCCAGCATCTGCATAATGTTTTGTGCATTCGCGACACACCCGGTCCGTGTCGCTGCGCTTCCATTGGCCAGATGTGAACGCTGTGCTTTGTTTTCGTTCTGCGCAAGTTGAACACACGCGTTCTTCGCAATATTTTGCGAGCAACGCCTGCCAGTTGATGGCGTCGCCGCGGAGGTGTCGCAGAAGAAGGTCCCGGCCCAAACCGATTCCCTTTTGGAATGGCGCGGCGTCGAAAGGGCGGAAGATCAGCAGCTTCCCACGGCCTTGGACGCGGGTGATTGCAACGTAAACCGTGAATGGGTTGCCCATTGGGCCGATACAAAGATCGGTCATCACGCCTTCTTTGATGGTTTGCCCTTGCGCTACATGCGCTGTGATGGCAAATTGGGGCGCAAGTGGAAATTGCGTGCGCGACACACGTAGCTTGGGGCTCTTGCGTTGCCGGTCCAAGTACCACACGCGTCTGCAGGGTCCGACAGGGTACACGTTGCTATCTGGCATACCTGGTATCTGCCACGATGTCGCGGTGTCAAACTTCACATACACCACCGCTGGCAATGCGTTGCACACAACTCCTTCAGGTGCAGGCGTCTCATTGGCAATCTCGGACCAACCCACGACGAGGCCTTTGGTGCCCTTGAGAATGCCGCGCTTCCGGTCCAAGTGGTCTGTTGCACGGACAGGCATGCCGACGCACAACGGCAACACGCCGTATAGCCCACCGCATTCTTTGTCGTGTCGCTGCAGCCATTGCAATTTCTCCGCTGTCAAATTCGGCTTCTCCTGCACGACCACGGATGATGCAACATCTTGCGCGACAAACAAGTATGCTTGCTTTTGTCTGGCATTTGCCCACTGTATGGCGCGAAGCTTGTTGACATGATATTTGATGTCGTTGGTGCCGAAAATTGCAACTGCATCAGCAAATTCGTTCTGAAACCGGGGGTCCGCATCCCCTTGCGCCACAAGTATGCGAGAACGCCGATCAGCGGCGCAGTAGCTGCATTCGGCTTCTTGTATGGCTTCTGGACGTAAACCTAGTGTGGGCAATGCGGCGCAACCTGGTTGTTCGCACGTTGCATGCCCAGCAATCCAGCTGCCTGGCACCGTAGTTGGTTTCCCATGAAGAAACTTGTGGTTATCGTCTGATAGCTGCCCATGACGAAGTTCTCCTTGGAGCTCAGCCAGCCAAGCGTCTTGCGTGCGCTCGCAGCGCACCAGTTCTGTCATCCCTTGCATCCCTGCTGCGGCCTCGCCCCAGAGAAGCGTTTGACCTTGATGTCCCGGGGCCTGTCTCGTGCTCTTGCGTCCGGCAAGCAAATCCCATGGGATGTCCCCTAGGAATGTTCCTTTTGGTGGTGGTAGTTGGTAGACATCTCCGGCCAAAATCACGTTCAACCCGCCGAACGGTCGGATTTTCCCGTTGCCGTCATACTTAGCTAGGCTGAGGTCCCGCATGAGCTCGCGGCACCGAAGTTCAAGCTGCGCTAGCAACTCAGCGCTCACCATGCTAAACTCATCCAAAATCAACCATCGCCATTGCAAGCTGCGACCTGCACATTCCATGGCGCGTGCCAAACTCTGAGTTCTGTCGCCTGACCAGTCCAATCCCAGCGCATGATGTATTGTGTCGCCTTCCAGCAGTTCAGCCATAACAGCTTGAAAACTGACGATCTGGAAGTCAACGCCGTGGTGCCAGCCGAGCACGTCTTCGAATAAATCCTGCCGCAGAAACTTTAATGTGTGAGATTTTCCTGTTCCAGGACCACCATGTAAGACCCAGCGAAGCGGTTCTGACGCCACATGGCCACACCCTGCGGTGGAGGTGCTGGCCGCCAGTTCTGTTTCCACGCGTGCCGCGACCAGCTCGCAGAAGGCTCGCTGCTCCGCGTTGCATGGTGCATGCGGCAAAGCAGCGGCCCACGTTCGCACCTCCGCAACAGATGCCCGACAGGGGCGCGCTGCCACGCAACTGGGTACGGGTGAAGCAACTGCTCGTGCGTCGACTCGTTTCCGGGCAGCTTGTTGCATTGCCTTCGGATCCAAGGCACAGTACCGTGTGCTTGCTTCAGGGCGTCTGTGAGGCAGCGCAGGTGCCTGCCAAAGTCCATCTGCTGTGTTCATTGCTGATTCGATGCGGTTTGCCCGGTCGTCGTTTGCGGCTTTGCAGCTGCTCGCTTTCTGAGCCGGGAATTGCGTGCGGAGCGCCGCCGCGACATCGGCCGGACGCAGTGTAAACGGTTCGTCCACACCATCGTCGTCGCTGTTGACGTCTGCTTCCGCGCTGGGTCGAACACGATACACAGACAAGAAGTTGCCGACGTGGCGCTTTGTTTCGGCGCAGGGCAACCGAAGCAGCCACTCTCGCAGAGCATCTTCCCAAGTCTCATGCGGTCCCAACAACTGACTTAAGTGCGGGACTTGTGATGTTGCCCGCGTCATGTCTAAGGTCCATGCGCGAAAATAAACGCACGTCAATCGGGCGTTCCGATCCGCCTTTTCGGTCCAGCGCTGTGGCACCGGGGCATTCGCGAAATGAGGACACCGTGGGCGCACGCGGCGCTGCAGGTACCAGTTGTGTCGAAGCACTGCAGTGGCCGCAGTGGACGCAAAACAAACGCGGTCGCGGGAACGAATTACTTTCAACCGGTAGTCCGTGCTGGGCTTCAATTTGGCAGCAGCCTGCTGCGGGCTACTTCGCAGTTTTTGTTCGCCGACCGGCGTAAGTGCTACATCCCATGCGTCGGAATTTGCTGCTTCCCACTCAGCGCGAGAATGCGGGATGCGCGCAGGAACCAGTTCCCAGTGCATAGTGAACTCGTATGGGGACAGCCACCAGCACTCGGAGTCCGACGGCCGATGACTATATGCTTGGCCAGTCGCCGCTTCCCGCACATGCCGCGCTCCAGATCCTGGCGCCTTACGGGTTCGCATATATGCTATATCGGACCCGGACTCTTTTCCTTCCAACTTTTCCAGTAGCTGCAAATAAACGTGCCCAGGAAACATCGTAAAGTTGCACGAGGAAACACGTTCTGCGGCTACAATCGAGCCATCGATGTGGTTGGCACGCAGGTTGCAACATTCCACTTGGCCGCGCACCAGGCCTTTGCAGTAGGCATCACTTAAAAACCGGTTGGCATGTCTTTTGCCAATGTGATCCACGTCCGCCTGCTTTAATGATGCATGTAAAGTGATGTGCCCTTTTTGAAATTCTTTGATCTCGTGGAACCCCATGGGCTGATTTTTGGAACAATAATCGCTGCAATAACCTGTTTGCGCATCTTGGGCACGTTGGGCCGCTAACGCTATGAGTTGTTTCTCTTTGCCCGAAAGCGAGTCGCCACACGTTGCACACGCGTACGGCAACCTGTACGGCACTTGGACGTCATTGTTCCCACCTCGCATCCCAGCTAAAAGTGCTGGATGGCAAGGATTCAAGTAAGGATGCCCGTACGGACCATGAAGGGCCCCTAACCGATTCTTACGACCCGTTAGACTGAAGCCATGAGATTGGAGCTGGCATGGGCAAAGCACTTTCGCAGAGTCAGACAGCCACTGATCGCGTGGAAAGTCTGATTTGCATACACCCATGTTTTCTTTCTTCTGGCAGCCTC